AAAAAAAAAAAAAAAAAAAAAAAAATTATATATATATATATACACGTGCAAGATGGTTATATTACAAATTCTTCCCAACTAATCTTAGCAGATAATTGATGTATTGGATCACAGTAAATTAATAGCATAATCATTTTATTTTATTTTTTATCTGAATTGAACATAAACTAACGAAGATATCTTGATTTGTTATAATTTAGAACAACCGAAGAAATCCTCAAATCTGGGAACTAAAGAACAACTCGTTAGAAGTAGGATTTCGTGATAAATTTTTATAGATTCTTGGAGATGATGAACAAACAAGTAACCGCTGTCCAAAATCTGTAGCCGCCTAAGCCCAAAACAAATTTTTGCACTCAAAAAAAAATAAAAATAAAAAATAAAAAATTTAAAATCATTACCCAGCCCAAACCTGAACAGCTCATCCCCGATCTCGCTCTGAGTTTCTCCCACAGCTCTCTACTCGTCTCCGTCTCTCGAAATACCAGGCATCGCCGACAGCAGCCCTCGATTGAATGATATAGTCTCAATTATTGGGAAACTTCTTCTTCATTGCTCCGAGGTAGGCTGTATAAACTTTAGCTCTTTTAGCTCCTTTTTGCTTCTCCTTTATATTTATTGCTACCATTTTGCTGTTTCCAGAAAGTTGTATTGGGGATTTCATCAGACTGCATCTGGCTGAAATTTGTACAAGTTTTGTGGTGGAGGGAAGAAGATTGAAACTTGGGCTGGGCGAACTTATATTTAGGAAGAGCGCGATCAGTTATAATTCATATTTTTGTTGATCGTTAGTATCCTATTTCGATTTTCAGTTAGTAAGAGAGTTTCCTCACCCAAAGGAGAACAGGTTTGTAGAAATGTTACGGACGGAAGGTCAGATGTGATGGATTCCTTTAGATCCAAAAATGGTAGATACTGCTAAAGATTTTTCAAGTGATAACTTGGTTATTAATTACGTGTTTGCATTAGATTGTGTGAATAATATTCCTAGACACGAAGTAGAAAAACATCTGCCAGTAGAGTTAACCTGGGTATCATAGAAACATGGTGTGCAATTTGCTTGATGTTTATGATAACCCTCATCTATGATTCAGCGACACAGACACGTGTTCGACACGATACGTGTCAGATACGTCGACACGCAATTTTTCAAAAAATTATCGACACGACACGTTGATTAAATTCCTTAAATTTCTTCATTTATATAGTATAAATTTAGTTTTATATTTATTATTAATTTCTCTAGTTTAAATCTTTTAAATATGAGTACCTATTTGTTATTTACTAATAACTTTAAATTAAAAATATGTAATATTTTTAATTAAAAAATTATATTTATGTTAGAATATCTGAAGAGTGTCGATATCGACACGTATTGAATACGGACACGCTATCGTAATTGAAGTATCCGTGCTACGGAATTCTTGCTGCAGGTACAAAGCAATGCCAGTTAATCACATCAAATCCCTGAGAAGCATTACCGTCCCCATGGAGGTGATTCGCCTTGTGAGCAACAGAACTATTACAAACAGGATCCGAAAAACATTGATGATAACATGAAATCGCAGATTACATCATAAACCCTAAACCACAACATCAAG